GTAAAATAACCTTTTTGACCTTCACGTCCTGTTCTCGCACGCGTTTGCCTTGACCCGTCTTTACGTCGTATCGCAAAAAGAAGGAAAATGATGTATTTTAACTGTTTAAGATTTGTACCTAACAAGCATTGGGACGAAAAATAAAATAAATATTTGCTGATGCTATAAAGATCTTGTAATTAATTTTTCATTGCGTTTGGTGATTGATTAGCTAATTTGTGTTTTGATAGCTTATTTGGCAAATTATTTTAAAATGTCAATACCGGTGTTGTTGAAGAACAGGAACCTTGACTATTGTGTCTAATTGTGTCGATGTTTTGTTGACTGATGACTGCAGTCTCCGTGTTTCTTTTGAAGTCTATCGTTCAGTAATTAGGTAACTACTACAGATAACATGTGGTACTTTAAAAGAGTATAAAAAATAAAAATGAAGTTTGGCTTGGTGTCATTATTGTATTCGATGCACCAGTGTTTCGCAAAGGATGTCGCTGCATGTCCATCTAGTTCAAGGCGAGTGGGGCGAGTGTCCGATGATCGGGTCACCTTCGCGTATGACCTTTGCGAGACCTCCCTTTCCTTTGAAGAATTTCTACCTGCAAGTTTGGGCCACCACCCGTCCGCTGAACTGGTTTTTCCAAGGAAATTTATGACGTCCAAACCGAGACGCAATATTTGTTCGTACACGGAAAATGCACGATTAATCAACGAGTTTTTTTCTCGAGTTCGGTTTTTTAGCTGTCTAATTGTTAATATTATGTAAACGACTGTCTTATAACAGGACTGGCGATGAAAAGGTCACGGATACACGTGATATATTTGAATTATTTACCGCAAAGGTGACCCCGTTTCCGTGAATTGCATATTTTAATTAATAGTTCATTATCACATTTTTGATTGGATAGATATCTTCCATCCAAAATTAAATGTACATTTAATAACTTATGTATATTTTTTGAGAAAAAGTCATATTTAATTCCTAACTGGAATTGACATAAATCCGCGACATTGGACTATATAAAACTGATAAATGAAAACAAACGTATTTTGCGTGTTAACATGGTAATTGAGCAAGCATAAAATTGAACGAAAACATTTCTTATTCCTGTATTAGTTAAAGTATTGTTTTTATAATAAAAACTGCTACAACCTTTAACGTGAACATATTGCTGACAGAAAAATACCTGTTTGCTAGGTCAATGGCGGACTCGCATGCATTCGTAAATTAAACATTCCTTCGATTAAGATCGATATTGGAAAACCATTTTATGATTAATTAACCGAAATCGTATCTATTATCATGTTTCAATTTTGAACGCTTACCAATTATAGAGAATGTTGGTATCCGTGAAACAGAAGGCCGATTTCTATTTAGGTACGTAGGTACGTAGGTACTAAACAATTACGATCGGTAGATTTTTATTTATGTACCATAAGTTAAATACTTAAAGTCATTTACAATTAATAATTAACTGTTGTGCATATAAATATTACACGTCGTTATTTATGTTATTTCGATATCTTTTCGCGATTATCTGACCAAGGTTATTAAAGCTAAATGGCGTCTATCCAATACAAAATGAATTTTGAAATTCGAATCAGATGTTTTGACAACTAACACAATCAACCAAACAACATAAAAATAAAAAGAAAATTTGAATTTTATGTAGATGTTTATATCCGCAGTTAGTGTAACGAAGTTATTTATATTTCCAGGAGGAAGCCGAGTATGAGGAGGAGGGTGAATATTCCGAAGAGGGTGAACCGCAGGAAGCATCGACTGAGGCTCCATCATCCACTACTGAGGGCAAGAAGCTAGTTGGCAGCGGCGTGAGGCCGTTCAGAAGCAACACTGAACTCCTTGAGATCCTCAAGAGGAAAAGGGCCCAGGCTGCTGAAGGTTAGTACCTTATAAAGAACAGATTCGAAGAATGGTTATTTTTCGAATCTTGTAGTGGTTACTACAGAAACAAAATTTATGGAAAAGGAGATACTTCTGTACCGTCTTTTGTGCCTTCAACTATTAAAATGAATTGTGTCTCAGACCTTCATTTTTTCTTAGTTCAGGAGCAAACTACTCTCCTCAAGCCTGAACAAATTCTATTTTCAGATCTATCGATATTGAAATTGGTTTTAAATTAACAAAAATTTGTATTTGCAGCCAAATTGCACGCTCCCTCGACCACGACATCGTCGCCAGCTCAGGATTCTCTTGACCCCACCAAAATTTCCTACAGTTAGTAGTACTACTTTTGAAAAAATGTCTAATTCACACTCATCATGCACTTTCATTGGCGTCATTTGGGTGACAAGGTTTATATGCACCACTTACCGATCATACTTACCAATTTCATTAATTTAATTTAAAATATGAATGAAATAGCAGTTAAAATATCCGTTTTTTAATCGCAGACAACAAGAGCAAGAAGCGCTTTAACAATGCTCCAGTGACCAGGGAGGTCGCCAACGATGAAGCACCAGCTCCACCCAAGCCAAGCAGAGGTCGCTTTGGAAGGCGTAAGTAAAACTAATGTGAGGATTTGCTTAAACAGTCCTACCAACTATAAACTACTGTGAACGTTTCGATATCTTCATAATTTTAGGGAAAATAAAAAGTGGCCCTTCCATTTTGAAATTATTGTCATGGTTGCAATAGTCTGTCATTACAATATCGCACATTTTCATCATGGAATCGTAATGAATGACGAAATAAATAAAAATACATATTTATGACTACCTGGTCTTAAATTGTTATTTTGAAAATAATCACAATAAAAATCCCTCAAAAAGGCTATCCGCCATTCAAGTAAAACGGGAAATATTTGTAATCCAATTATTTGACCTTGAGATCTCGTTACTGCCCTTCATCCGCGTTCTGGTGAACGTACTGTAAACAAAAACTACAGGTACCTATCTTTTTATTCTTTTGACGTGGCGGTAAGGTGCGTTCTTAGTAGGTATTTAGGTACTTTTGTAATTAGGTAAGTACTTGCCAACTAGTCAAATTCAATACTTTTTTCGAACTGTCAAAAACGACAGTCTTTTATGAATTTTGTACGAGATTGTGTATTGTGACGTCACGTTTTTTTAGCGTTAAACAGCATAGTTATTTCTTAAAAAAATGCCGGAAGAAACTAAAATTAAGTAATAAAATCAATTAATGAAAGTGAGATTTTTTTTTAATATTTTGTCATATTCAACAGTCGGAATAATTTAGTTTTGATTTAGGGAAGTACCCAATTGTGATAGGTAACAACATTGTAGTGCCTAATACCAAAGTTGGGAGTGAATATATGCTCCGTGATTACATATATTATATATGGTCATAAGCCCCACAATTCAGTATAAATAATCGAGTGTAGTGGTCCTTATATTGAGGAAGGTCGCATGCCCAAGGCCCATTAAAGTCAAAATGGTTGTGTAACCAAGTGACTTTTTTTCTTAACAGCAGCCACAAGGTCAGTCCAGGAAGAAGAAGAGCCACAAGTAGATGCTGCACCCAAAGTACTGTCCGGCAGAACGTTCAGGCGAGGCGGCAACTAACTCTTCTAACATTTACAATAGTCCCCTACCCACCATCCCGTCCCATTACCCTCCCTAATCAAATTTTATATCTGAAGTCTACCACAACCCGTCCCGACTGTAATCTAGAATATATTTGGAAAACGTGGCAGCACACTTGAATATAATGTGAAGTAATTAGAACATTAAAAAACATTACATTAAGAACTCGGGACAGTCCTCTGCTGGACTAAAGACCCTTATCAAAAGAGGGGTTTGTATGCATAAAGTACATGACAACTAATTTATAATTATTTGCGCCACAATCACTAATAAGTACTAGAACATATATTCTAGGTTACAGTCTGGCAATGGGATTATAAAGATACCTTTTCGATTCCAAATTCATCACATTAGATGGATTAGATTACATTTTTATACTTGTGTAAATTATAAGTGTAAGTAATTTTTAAATAAAATAATTTTAAATTTTCGATATTATTTTATTGTCTACTCCGACTTTCAATACTTAATAACATATTGGCTTATTATTATAACATAAAATAACTATCGCCCGAATACTGAAAGACTAATCAATATTAAGTTCTACTTAAATATTTTCCATCTCTGTCATTTTATAAAGAATTTGTAGTGATAGAACTATACTTAAGCGCGCTTTAAGATTGAGAGACGTTTGAGTATTTGGACATAAGTTAATTTTTTTTTCTTAATTGTCATACATGATATTATTGCAATTAAAAGAGGTTTAAATATAATAACATGACACACAACCTGAGTGCGTGACACGAGTCAAGTCTGTTGTCAAAAAATACACATTACCTATATCGTAGTAGTCTTCTTATCCTAACAATGATTGATTGAATTGTAATGTTAGGTCCTACGTGAGCGATATAGAAGCGAACACGATTATAAAGCGAGGACATGCGAATTCAATGCGGTGCGACGCGGCGGTTTTGTGAGGACAAAGCCTTATGTACAGTCACGTGCATAACTGAACGAACTGTCGTATTTGGATGCGGTATTGACATGGTTTTGTTTGGTTATAATGACTGAATCAAAAACGAACGCATTACATTCGCGTGTCACCGCCTCGTAATCGCGATCGCTTCTAGATCGCCCACGCAGGACGTAGCGAAATGAACAATTGGATTTCACAGATTTATTATTGTGCGTAACAATAAATCAGTCAACGTTAGTTGCCTATTACCCTAATGGTAGTTGACACTAGTTTATTAAAACTAAGACATCGGAATGTTGTACCAAATACTTAAAATTAATTACTTAAGCTATAAAAAAGTATCGTCGTATCTGTCAACTAAACCTACGTATCAGAAGCTTGGGACTGATTTATTGTTCTGCGTAACATAATAAGTCAGTCAATAACATTAGTTGACCATTATCGTAATGGTAATTGACACTAGATTATTAAAACTAAAGGTCATCGCACCCCAACAGGCACGGCCCAGCACGGCATGTACAGTCTACTTGTTTAAGACACGTGTAACTTCAGCCAGTGGAGTGTTGTAGGTGCCAGGTTTGACCAGGTTAACCAGCTGCTCAGCAATTTCCTGGCCCACACGTACTTGAGCCTCCTTTGTGGATGCTCCTGTAAAATAAGGTAGTATTTTTAAGAATTTGGTAATCATGAGAGAGGTATTATTCTTAGAAATAGAAAACAACTATGTAGCTATTACAGTTCATAGGGTCATCCTGGTGATACAGACAAATGCATAGAGTAGCTTTAGTTTTAATAAGGTCCATTTTTGAGTGTCTCAGTGCGAAACCCTAAAAAGGTGCACTGGTAGTATGTCCATAAAAGTTTCCCAGCCCAAAAAGAAGTTCATTAGTTTATTAAAGGTAAAGAGGATAACTACATACCCAAGTGAGGAGTTGCTATGACGGCTTTGTGCTGTATGATCTCCAAGGTTAGGGGATCAGTGGGAGGCTCCTGCTCAAACACGTCGAGAGCTGCACCTCCAACCTAAATTATATTTTATAGTACATTAATATACAGTAAATGTTCCATTTTTTAAATGGATACTTGTATGTATTGTCTCTCACACATACTTAAATCGATAATTAAAAGTCTTGAACACTAGTTCTTGCCTAGTCTCTTGTCTGTTGAAACACCGGCTCCCGATATAAACACATTAAAGAACAATAGGTTGCGGTCACTAGTGTCCTCGCGGTGTTTGACAGTTTAAAGAACAATAGGTTGCGGTCACCGGTGTCCTCGCGGTGTTTGACAGTTTAAAGAACAATAGGTTGCGGTCACCGGTGTCCTCGCGGTGTTTGACAGTTTAAAGAACAATAGGTTGCGGTCACCGGTGTCCTCGCGGTGTTTGACAGTTTAAAGAACAATAGGTTGCGGTCACCGGTGTCTTCGCGGTGTTTGACAGTTTAAGTATGGCCACAACTTTCAACAGACAAGAGGCTAGACGCGGTTTCCACTCAAAAACAGATCTACTCGAACGATCATCGGCTTTTCGAGTTCATCAAATTTGAACGATCCGCAGTCACTTCAGGTTGCTAATTCTTTGACCGACGTCGATAGCCTTGTTTCGGATTCGATACTTAAAGACTCTATGAGGAATAAAAAGTAATAAACTTACATGGCCAGAGTTCAGCCCATCAAGAAGATCCCTCTCGTCAATAAGACCACCGCGTCCAACGTTAACGATCTTTATATTTTTCTTGCATTGACCGAGTACCTTCGCATTAATGAAATCTGTACAGAAGAAAAATGAGTCAGTTAATGAAAATAGCAAATAATTTAACATAATTCGAGGGGTAACGGGCTATTTGGTTTAAGCGACATTTTGGGCGATATTGAGTTATATATATATTCGGAATCAGCGAATTTTTCTCCGTCGAATGATGCCGGTTTCATTAAAATTGGAGCACTTTTTTGGCGTTTCAAACAATTCTATTTTCATGTTGTTTCCAAAGTGGCAGTGTATTAAACGACATGGATTTCGCATTTTTTATTAAATTATGTACTTGAACCATACCATCATATTAATAACCGAGACATAAACCAGTCACCCTATCTCTAATTATTAAGTCAACATGAGTTAAAGCGTTTTTCTTGTTTCTAATTTTTATTAACAAGTAACTTGAATCATTTTGACTTCCCACTAATCACACGGTGTGATGTCGCTTAAAACATTTGTCCGTCATCCAAATGCGTCATGGTACGTCTCTTAAACATTTCTAGCTGCCTCTATTTTCTACGCAGGGTGCTACTTAAACCAAATAGTTGTTTTCGTTCAGATATTTTGTTTAGACATAAACCATTTAACCCTCATTTTTTTTTAAATGCATGTCGTTTTATACAGACGATAACATTGATAATGAATATTGAAACATTTTTCCAGTATTCATAGAAATACGAGTCGGTCTTTCAATCACTAAGTTTTAATATGGTACATTTAAATCATGTCATATGATACCATATTTATTTCATCGCCCTGGTGTTAAAAATCGTTATCATCCAACTGGACTATCGTGCGCTGGCGCTTCAGTCACTCCAGAGTGCGCCAAAGACAGACGGGACGCGCACACACCGCCAGTGTTTACGTAAAACGCTCATAGAAATTGAATCCTAAGTACTTTAATTTCAAGATGAACTTTGGCAACAATGACAATTTAAGGGCTATTGTGGAGGTTGATGACATACAATCTACGGCTGATTTAGCAACAGCTTTCGACGTTAGCGTCAAAACAATATTGGTACATTTCCGTCAAATTGGCAAGGTAAAAAAGCTTGATAAGCGGGTGTCCCACAAACTAAATGATCAACAGAGCTAAGTATGCATCGAGCAGTGCGAGGGGAACTGGGATGCCGTCTTCTCCTTTTGCGAAGCAGTTATGCTAGCTAAGGAGGAGGCGGGACGCGTGAGGCAGCGAAGCGCTGGCTCCTCGCAACCCAGCCATCGTGAAGGACACACCTGGCGTCGGGGATCGCGGGGCGATCTCTAGTTACCGTAAGCGCGGGCCTGCGGACGGTGAGCATGGGTGGCTCCCCGTCCGACCAGAAACAGACCCGAGCGTACGGGGCGTCGCGTTCCTCGCGCGCCTCAAAGAGCCATCAGACCACCACAGATGGGGCCCAACAGGGTCGATGCCGATTCGGAGTCGCGGAGAACCTAACGGGTAACCGGGGCTCCGGCTCGACGTGCAGAGAGAGAAAAGGGGTGATTTTTAGTCAGTAAGAGTCTGACATCTTTCCGCCTCACCAGGCGGGAGCAGTCATTCGATTTTTACACCCTTAAAAAAATGCATTGAGTAGTGCCTTGCACTGCACTGCTCAATATACACACAAATGAAAGAATTTTGATTTGCATTGTCACCTCCGATGAAAAATGAAATCTGTGTGATAACCACACGCGTTTAGCATGTTGGTTGAATCCTAGTTCAGCACCTAAACAATGCCCTAAACGAAAACTTACCCCTAGAAAAGTGATGGTCACTGATGATCTAGCGCTCGCGCTATTCTGATTCATCACAAATTCTTACCAAACGGAGTGAGCATTACTACGGATGTGTAGTGTGAAGAACTGAACACAATGATGGAGAAGCTGACACATCTCCAACCAGCACTGGTCAATCGCTAAACTCCATTGCTCCTGCATTACAACGCGCGACCTAAAGCTGCACAAGAGACGGCCTCCACGTTACAAGAACTGGGGTTGTGAAGCTCTCCGACATCCACCCTACTCACCAGTCACCAGACTACTTCTTTTTCCAGAATTTGGATAACTTCTTGGCGGGAAAAAATTTAATAACCGAGAGTCAGTACAAATTGCATTTGAAGAATTTGTTGCTTCCCGCCCAGCTGATTGAAGAAGGGCATCGATAAAGTGCCACTGCGTTGGCAACGATGCATTGATTGCATGGGTGATTACGTTGATTATACAAATAAAAAATACGTGAAAAAATCGTTTAAATTTTTTCATACAAAACGGCAATTTCAGTAAATGACCCATTAATTTAATTGATTTTGCTGAAATATAATCGATATTCCTATTGAAACTGTAATTATTACTCTAAATAAATACTTTGATATTGTGTTGTGTTTATTTATTCAATGTAAGCATCTAAGATTTTCGGTGATTGCGATATATCCAGGTTGTTTTATCAGCCATTAATCGCCATAGATGTAAATAAACATAAACATTAAACGTTATAATTTCAATGTTATTTGTCACATAAGTAAATTAGCCTGTCACTCATTTTAGTCTGAATTGGTAGTTAAGATAAATAGCTTGCTTCTATTAATTTTGGGTGTCGTCACTTCATATTTTTTAGCTTACTCTGTAAATAGAGTACATTGTCGCTTAATTTTTTTCCCTTGTAGCCAATTGTAGTTATGAAGTCACTTAAATCATTTTTCCTGACTCTAAAAAAGGGCGGATTGTATTAAGCGACATTTATCTTTGTAATTAAAGGTCCGCTTTATTTAGAATTAGCATCAGCAACTAGATAATTTAATTTAAATTTCAATGCAATTTACCCCGTTCAAATAACTGCAGAAGCGTTTTTGTTACGAATTTTTTTTCGAAATTTCAAACTTTAAAATGCTCTCCTGTAAAGTTGCAAAAATGTCGCTTAAACCAAATAGCCCGTTACCCCTCGATATTATTATCAAATTCGGTTGTTAAAAAAAGCATATATCCGATCGAATTGAGAACCGCCTCTTTTTTTGCAGTTTAAAACAGTAAATCTTATGAATTTAATTTAAATTCAATTAAACACAATTGTTTGGTTTACTAACTAGTACATTATTTTCATTTATAGCTGCAGGCACAAAACGAAAATTCGTTTATTTCTATATGGTTTATTGTCATGGTTCAAAACCCGACCGATCTGTCCTCTAGAGAAACCATTGGTAGTTCTGAAGTGTATCCAAATTGCTATAGGTAGGCAAAACGAGCACGAAAGTCAATAGTTGTTTCACGAAACTTGTTAATTGTTGTTAACTTGTTAATCAGTATGATAATAACAAACAAAGGGAATTAATGTGATCATCTAACGTATGCGTTGGTACTTATATAAACAGACTTCAGTTCAAACGAACAACGATAATAATCAACTCGTTTACTAAATAAAGTACTTTCACTTTATCTTATTCCTTTGAATGAGGTACGTTAATAAATACATACATACGTATAAGTATAGTAAGTATTAGTAGATATTGAGTAACTGTAATCGCAAACTTACTTCTTGTCGATTCAATAAGAGGCGTGTGCAGGGTGATGTAATCAGCAAGCGGCCAGATCTCATCCAACTCCATCTTTGTGGCGTGGAATGTGGCGCACTGTTCTGCCGTCACGAACGGGTCGTAACCTATAATCTGAGCAACGCATAACGTTGTTAACATTTCAAATCATTCAAATAATCGCTGTTGCTCCTAATCCTAGTAATACCTTAAACAAGTAAAATCATTTCGCTCATAGCAAGCAGTCGCATAATAAGTACTTGATAAAAAAGAACATAATAAACATAGATCAAAAGTACCAATAACAACAAAACAAAACGGAAAAGTAAATGTTATCAGAAGGTTAAAACCTATTTGCATCAGACAATATTTCGTCAGAAAAATCCCAACAAATTAAATTATCCATTACTACAGCTTCCTTATCTTATCTATCGGTCATTTACTCACGGGTTCTCAGTGTCAGTGGAATTTTAATTTACTGGCATCTGTTTCATCAGGTCTCGTCAGGAACCGATCGACACGACGATCAATTCATCCAATATTGTGTTTGACCTTCATCCAATTTATCCCAACGTCGCAAGTTAACTAGCGATACATGTCTGCTATCTACATCGATGTTAGTTTTCCATGTTGTGGTTTGCTGTCAAAGTGACATTATATGGTTTAAAAATGTCACTGTGACGGCTAAACACGCCACGGGAACTTGCTTTTCGCTGTTTTTCGCACAGACCTAGAAGTAAGGAGATGTGTGTCATTTACCTTCATGCCGAAGGAGTGCATGCGGATGGCGACTTCTCTGCCAACTCTGCCGAGTCCAAGGATGGCGAGAGTCTTGCCGTTGAGTTCAGTGCCAGTGTAGAGGGCGCGGTCCCAGCGACCAGCGCGCAGGGCGGCAGCAGCCGGCACTACATGTCTTGACAGATTTAGGATCAGACTGCAAGTCAGCTCGCAAGCACTTAAGGCGTTGGCTCCGGGAGCACTGTAATAAAAAAACAGAATTTTTAATCCTTCACTTTCAGAACAGCTTATAATTTTATGGAAATATCGAAATTCACGTATCATATCATATCACTATATCGTTAACAGAACGACACTAGCACATAAGCTATATAAGATGTAATTTTACCACGTGGAATCCCTAAGGGTAGAATTACCGTTCAATGTTTTCTTACTTGATAACACCGACTCCTCGCTGTCCAGCGGTGGTGACGTCGATGTTGTCCACTCCTGCACCAGCGCGACCAACAACCTTCAGGTTCTTGCCAGCTTCTAGAACCTCCTTGGTGACTTGTGATGCAGATCTGACCACTAAGGCATCGTATTTCTGTTGGATAATAAATTTATAAAGATTATTAGCATAACAATAAAATGGCGTACCGTGTTTGACTTTGAAACTATTTATATCTATCTTCATCCTCTACGTCCTTTGGCAATTTACTTGCATTTATATTTGTAAAGAATAAAAATATCATTGTATTAAAACGTGTCGGATGATATGTAATTAAAATACATGTGACTACATAAATAACGTGTTGCAAACTTATGATTGTTGCGCTGAGCAGGAATAGTGATATGTGGAAGCTAAAAAATCAAAAGAATTCAACCAGTAGCATAATAATGACAGTAAAAAAATGGAGAGGAAAATCTTAACTTGAACAAGAAGCAAATATATAAATATCATAACATGTAGGTAACGTCTACTAAGGAAAAATAGTTAATTGTGCATTAGAACCTTCAATACAGGAAAAGTTCCACAGAAGTGTAAGAATAAGTTACAATCAGCCTAAACAAGACTTATCACGAAGCAAAAGAGATTTTATCCACCTGACGATTTGTACAATCAAAATCAAAACAAATAACTTTGTACGTACATAGATTGCTATAATCGCACATGCGGTGCAATGACCTTTTGTCATTTAAGAACGTTGATAATAAATAAAACGTATGAATTGAGACATTGTATGTATTTTTTGAACTTCGTTAGTCCTGGCCTGTTGTTTTTCTTGTGTGACTTGGCCTGACATGATAGGATCTCCTTTAAACCTTGAATAATAATTGGGAGACAATGAAAGCTACATTTTCAAATTATTTTTGTAGGTAATACAATGAAATTCTGCTCGTATTAAATGCATGCGCTATTCATGATATTAAGGAATATTTTTTTTACAAATTGTAATATCGTAGACGTATGTAGAGGCAGTAATAGAAGATCTTACCGGGATTTCTTGAAGAAGTTCATCCTTGGTGATTTTCGCCTTATTTACAACATTGATTCCGTGAGAATTAAGAATTTCTGTGCAGTTTGCGCCGACGCCGTCGACCACCAACACGGATTTGATGTCCATCTTTCAACTGAGAACAAACAAATTACATTGCATATCACGAGTGAGGATAAATAATCGTAAGAAATCCAAACGCAGAATTCGCAAGTGGTCTGCAAAAGAACGCTGTACCTATGCATACTTTAAAAAGGTTTGCACGTATAAGAAGGGAATCAAGCCAATAACCGGTTAGTTCTTTATTAAAACTAAACGAAGCGCCTACATAGTACATCATTGTTACGACAAATATAAAGCAGACCTTTACAAAATTAATATTAAGTAGTACGTAAGGGGAATTTAAATTGTAAAAAAATCCAACGTACTTACTGATTTACTTTTTACCTTTATAGGGGAACACAGCTTGGAGGAGTTATGCGTTATAAACTCACAGTGCGCTATTTACTTACTGTGCGGCCTTTTTATATACAGGGTCATTAAGTTAATTGACAATTACAAAAGAATGTGGTCCAATTTAGATACAAAATAATATTGTCTAATATCAAGGCACATAACAATAATATTCACTTAGGAATCTAATACAATTTAGCTACATAATATAAGTATTATATTTTAATTGGTGTACTCACGTAGATATAGAGTCCTGAATGTAGCGTTAAGTGGCTGGGTGGATAGCGACTGAGGCCAGGGACAGCGTGTAGCGGTGGGTTACCGATGAGCGACGCTCGCGCCACTTATCTTGGTTAGCGTCCAATAAGCGAACGTCACAGCCGGCGTCTGCGCTTGCGTTTTGTATGTTGAGTTTGCACTCGATTCTCAATCTCTCTGATCAACGAACTAAACGCAATGTCGTGTGGCCAAATTACCGTGTGCACTTCGACAAAAAATACTTTGGTTGGGCCGTGTGACCACGCTGACAAATTGTGTTTACTTTTTAAAGTTTGTTATTTCTGATGAAGTGATTATTGATCTGTGTTGGTATACCAAACGAAGCATGAATTTTATTAGCGCTATAGAATAATTTATTAGATTGTTTTTTTACTGTTTGTAGGTCGTGTAGGTATATGTTAATATGTCTTGTTTGTTTGTAATATAAAAACAACATTGTTCTCAGCCGTGATGTCAAAGAAGGACGTGGTTGCGTATCACTCCTTGTTTGCGTAAACATGTTTATCGCTGGCGAGCTCGCTTTCGATTACTCATTATTTCATAATACGATAATAATAAAGTATCGGAAATCGAAAGGGGCATGTATTTTAAAATAACTACTTTAAACTTAAGGTGTAGTGCAAACGTGCCTACAACTGTTAGTTGAACAACTATTTTGTTTTCTTTATACGTTTGTTATATACTTATATAGCAGTAATGAACGTATGTATACTCATTAAACTGTCAAACACCAAGCGGTCACCGGTGACCGCGACCTATTGTTCTTTAATTGTGTCTATAAAACCGGTACTCGATGAGTTAAAAAATCATTAACATTGTCAACTAATTAATTAGTCTATTTGAAACTGTTCAACTAATTAATTAGTCTATTTGAACAGTTTCAAATAGACTAATTAATTAGTTGACATACCTAATACATCTTCTAAACTTTTTAGACTAAAAAGTTTAGACGATGCAAAAGTTGTGTGAAGGTATGGTCGAGCCCTAATAGGCTGGGCGTAGATTTGATGGCAAACAACGATAAGAGATAACAGTTAAGCCAAATTAATTTTGTATCTAGAACATTTTTTCCAACCCGCGGTGTCTAGACGAGTGGAGTACCTAACACGTTATTAAATCTTTTCTTTTCTATGAAATTAACTTCTTAAACCCAGATTATGAAAAATTCACATATGTTCATACAATAGTAGTCTCTAAACATCGGAAATAAGGTCTATTGGCTTTTTGGGGACTGGGTCTGTTTTAAAACTAAGACATTGTGTGATTTTTGTAGTGTTATATAACATTAAATATTTGACAATAAACAAATACCTTCTTGACTTGGCTGGGGATGCAGCCGTGCTCCTAACATGTCGTCAAATATAAAAAGACTAGCTTTTACCCGCGGCTTCGCTCGCGTCACAAAAGGATAAAAGTAACCTATACCAATACACACAGCGCCATCTATACCAATTCTTTTGTTTTACCTCGGGAATACCAAAAATTTCCGGGATAAAATGTACCCTAGTATTATTTAATCCGGACTTCTAACTTTAAGTCTGTAAAAATTCAAAGCAATCGGTTTAGTAGTTACAGCGTGAAAGCGGAACAAACAAACAAACAAACAAACGCACTTTCCCATTTATAACATTAGTAAGGATGGTACAAAGTTCACCGGGTCAACAATTAAATTAAACATGTATAAACAATAACTCAATAGATGTGGAATATTTTATTCCCCGAAGGGAATTCCCAATACTGTTTCTAGTTACATATGTATATCCCTTTCACGAGTTATTTTATGAAAAAACAAGATAGTTATCTTGTGTTACGTCTCTTTTCATTTCCAAAACATTGATTGACGGTTTCCCGTCATTGTGTAACACAACGGCTTTTTTCTCCGAAGGGACACGCGGGATTGGAACAGATCGTGATGAGCTGCGTATCTTGGACCTGTGACTTCATATGATAGTTAAGAGAACATTTCTCTAGAATCTTACTATTATTATAAATGAAAAAGATTTTGTGTGTTTGTATGTATGTAATGTTACCCAATCATATCAGAACATAAGTTAATTTATATCAAATCAATGGGGATGATGACAGGGTATGAAAATTAAAAATATAATTAGTCCGTAAGTTAGGTAATGAAAAAATATTAGACACGTATTTTTTTATTTTGTCGTATAATAAAACAATACTTAGATAAAACGAATCAAAGTTTAGGAGTGGGGGCTAAAACGTCATTCCTTAGTATAAAATGTACTGAGAAGTGACGTCACGCGATATTTCAAATCAATATATCTTCGAAACTATTCGTTTCTGTGAGAAAATAAAAAATACGTGTCTAATGTTTTTAAATAATTTATCAGACGGACATTAAAATAAAAATTAGTCGTCTACCCTATTGAAGTAATCGGGTTGAAAACGAATCTTGAAATGTTGTATGTGGTTTCAGGGGCGATAAATCGATCTAGCTGGGTTACAGTTTCAAAAAATGTCGTTTATAAAAAAAAATACCGAGGAAATGTCTATCATCCAGGTACTAGTTATTATGGTTTAGATACATTGAGAATCCATGTAGAAATTTAATAGCAAACATATTTTGATCAACAATTAATAAAATAAAAATAGGATGAGGCATCAACGTCTTATAGGGTAAAGACATCTATGGCTTGAGGTGATCTGATCACACTCAATGTGACCTTCTGTGTCTTTCATAACATAAAGCTAGTATTTATATTTTTCTATAGATAAATTGGAATAAATGTTACTCCCTAAAAAGTACTACTACCCATGAAAAAATACAAAACATAAACTTCACGCCTTTTATCCCCGAAGGGGTAGGCAGTGGTGCACATTACAGTACTTAATACCACTGTACAATGTAACCCTCTTTTCACTATTTTATGTTATGAGTCCCATGTAATAGGGGGTGTGCCTATTGCCCGGGCACAATTCCAGACTCCACACATTCAGATTTTTTGAAAAACTCAGTAAACTTTGACCAACCCGGGAATCGAACCCGAGACCTTTTGCCCGGCAGTCGCACTTGCGACCACTCGGCCAACGAGGCAGTCAAATACAATACAATAAAGAAGTTTTTTCTATTTATAATATTAGTAGATATAGTTCTGACTGCACGGTTGGTGCGGTGGCTAGGCAACTGGCTGCCGACCAACGTGTCGCGGGTTCGATTCCTGCACGGAACAACTCTTTGTGTGATCCACAAATAGTTGTTCTGGGTCTGCATGTCATGTGTATGTGAACTTGTATGTTTGTAAACGCACCCACGACACAGGAGAAAATCCTAATGTGGGGCAACGATTTAAAAAAAAAAAAAGTTCATCATCATTAAAAGTCCGTAATAGTCTGGAGTTGGATTATAGGCCACCACAACATTAGCAGGTGAATTGGAGATCACATTATAAAGGTTGAGGTTTAACAGAGAACACTGTTGCCCTATCAACTCTTATGATTACCTCGGATAGTAGAAACGTATTTTAGTATGCCACCAGTCCTTGGTAGGTTTGAAGAACCATGTGGTTCATCAGTAGTATAGCTACAGACTACAGACGGACCATTAAATCAATCAATAACAAAATGTAATAGATCCAACAGTCAAACTATTTGTGTATAGTTTGTTGGACATCACGTTAGATTATAAAGCAAACCATATAAAATAAAATAAAAGAGCCTTATATTTCCCATTCTGTTAAAAACAGCTACATGTCCTAAAAGTAATTTTATATTAAAAGGTTTAGTTTGAGGGAACCCCTAAGGTGAAGGCCTCCTCCAGAGAATTCTCGATCTTTTGCTGTTTTTAGCCAGCGTGCTCCAGGCATGCCATGTACCTCTTATTAAATAAATAATTAAATAATATTTTGTTAAGGATCTCCAGCAAATTTATAGAAGTGTAGCTCTAGCTAGATGGAGTGAGAGTTGAACATCGAACTTAGTCACAGACGTGTAAATGAGGTCGTAATAGCCAACAGTTAACATTTTAAACGATGTATGTAGTCCTACAGCTGATATGACTGATATGAACCCAAAATCTGTGGATCTTTTAAACTGAAGCTTCAAATATTTATAAACGTCAAAAATTTATCTTAATCTTTTTGAAGTTATCAGTATTTGGTGTGATGAACTGTAGATTCATAATCCGCAAGCCCAAGGAATATAATACAAATGTAGGATAAACAAAATACATACTCGTATAGACAACTCGAATATTGCGTTGAAGCGAGTATGGTATCAGTATATACCTATGATATGAAGGTGTGTCTGTAACGTCAGGTATAAAAAAATAAAACAAAGCAGTTCAAATGTTATAATCTTAATTATTAATTTTATTATCACACTTACGAAAGATACAAAAACATATATCACGATGGCACTAGCAGTCAGTGCTTCAGCAGACGTGTAGAGTAATATCAAGGTGATTGTGATGGCGACTACATCACTTATATATTATACATTTAGTACAACTTATCACCAATCATCAATCAATAATAAATACACACGAGAATAAGTACGGCAAAGAATTTCTATTACAATGTCTACGTATTTGAAAAGTCAAAAACATGATATAATAATATTACTCTATTTAGGCAATTTATGAATAGTTCATAATCTAAATTGCTAGAGATAACACACTTTGATAGCTTGCTTAACAAAGCTTGACGGTAATCTCGCAATCGTTCTTAAATAATAGTTTTTACAATTTACTTTACAGAAATTAATTCAAGAGAGAGAAACTTTAGAATGTCTTGACAGCGTTTATATATATATAGGTACTGTTAATGTTGACACACACTATTTTTATACATAGAGATGGAAAAATCATATTGATTTGGTTTATATTGAATTTTCGGAGATTTCCTTTTATTTGGAATCCCGTTCTTACTCGTAACATTATCTACTACTAATATGTACATAACACTTGTAAAATAAAAAGGATACTAAATAGAGAGTACCCAGCAGGCACAATTCTAGTCAAGAAAAAATATTAGAATCTTATACTATTTATAGACACATTACAACTAGAATAGAAAAACGTTTGATATTAGGCAGATAGTACGTAGACGAAAGATACTAACACCTAAGTAGTTTCTGGATGAATTGACTAAGATTAATGACATATCATAAATGCTGAACTTAGCTAATAATTTGTAATAGAAGATTTTTTAAATAAAAGTGAATTTAATGAATAAATTTTGTAAAGTGGCCGAGGGACTGGAGTGGATGCTACAATCAAGAAGGAAGCCTAAGTTTCAGCATTATGTCATTTTGTATGTAACCAGAGATTATAAGTATTTGTGGGGTGGTTATTTGGGATGGTAGATGCCCCGGGCGGGTCTGGCGGGTCGGCCTCCGATGCCACCGGCCGCGCGCCGCTTGGCAATGAGCGCGTCGAGTCCACGTAGGGGTGGCGCAGGAGTTGTCTCCGCTGGGGTAGGCTCCGTCTCTATCTCTCCGTCACTCTTTTGCTCTGCGCTAGTGCTCTCTTCTGTTGTCTCTGTTGATTTCTTAGGAGCTTCTGTAGTTGCCTGCAATGTAAGAAATGAAATAGACTAAAAATCCTGTTACTAGTATGTCTTTTGTAGGGAACGTATAGAAAGGATATTATCTTCATCAAAGAGGAGGCGAATACATGTGTATTCGCCTCCTCTTTCTGGCTAAGCTACTCCATTATATAAACTTTGTGACAGACTACAATTTTCTGCAAAGTTCATTGTTGCATTCACAAGCGCAAACTTCACACACTCCACTATTTATTACTTTATCTATCACACTTAGATTTATCATTAATGACCTGATCATAATATTTGGACTTACTTCAGTGGAAGTACCCAACTTCCTCTTGAGAAGGGGGTTCACACGACGCGCAGGAGGAGTCACTGGAGCACGGGGCTTGGGGGAGGGAGAGACCTGCAGCCTGTTGCGGACTCTCAAACCACTGCGAGGTGCCTCGGGCGCGGGAGTTGGGGATGAAGCCTGTGCAACAGGAATAATATCAATAATGTTCCCAAAGCTAGATATCCACTATAAGGTACCTTATTTGTTCTTTGCTCATCGATAAAGCAATTCATATCCTCTTTGTTCTTTAAAGTTTTAGAAATATGGAAGATACAGTAGTATTCTTAAGTTATTTAGTTTTTACCTCAGAATCCGCATCAGTGGCAGGTGATTCAGGGGCTGAAGTCTCAGCGGGTGCTTCAGAGACAGCTGCCTCAGGAGCAGTGCTTACACCTCTCAAGCGAGGGTTGGGTCGGAGGTTCAACCTGGGTCCAGGACGGAGAGACGCTGGTCTCACACCGGGTCTGCCACGTCTAAGTAAAAAATGACATTAGTGGTTAAGGCTTAAAATTCTATTCAAAATGGAAATGTTCTTTCTTCTTTCATATATGTTTACTAACCCAATAGTTCTGGAAGGTGTGGGTGTAGTCTCAGATACTTCCCCGGAGCTCGCGCTGGGTGTCGTGCTGTCTTCAGCTGAAGAGCTGGCGACGGCAGCAGTGGTGCTAGTCGTAGAAGGTCCTCTCCTCAGGCCTGGACGTAGCCTGGGTCTGAAAGACGGTCAATAAATTCCGTCAGTATGTTTATAGCAAAACTGACACGACTTGATTTCAAGTTGATTGATGATTTCCTGACAGTAAAGATTAGACAGCATGGAAAATACATCCTTCTCCGTTAGAATTATTTGAAACTAGCTTCTGCCCGCAACTTCGTACGCGTAATCCCATTTTTCCCGTTCCCGTTCGTGATTTCCGGTAAAAAGTAAAAAAAAAAAATTGGTCAAAAAGTATCCTATGTCGGGCTCCTGGGTCTAAGCTACCTCCCTACCAATTTTCAGTGAAATCTATTTTGCCGTTCTTGAGTTATAAGTGGTGTAACTAACACGACTTTCTTTTATATATATAGAAGACGTCCTCGGAATGTCAAAAAATTGTTACTCGAATGGTCGTTATTTTTCTGGCCACCTCCTGTGTGCACAAAGTTTTCTCGGAGTATTATTTTCCAAATTAGGTTAGGACCAGCACTGACTTTTGACCAGATTTAGTTGAATGTCACATGTACCGAGTCTATCTATGTTTGTACAGTATATGGTATTTAGTCTTTAAGGGATCACCTGGGTGCTGGAGCTTCACTGGACGCTGCTGGGCTGCCGGACTCGTCTGTGACTGGAGCAGCAGACGTGGAGGCCGGCCTGGTGCGACCAGCGAACAGGCCACGACGACCACCGAACGCCTGCAACAACCAACACCGACCATAAATACACGAACATTTCCAATTTAAGGTCATTGTTCGCATTTCGGTGCATTATTAGCCTTTTTGATTTTATCGTATGTTTATTTCCATTCAATTGTGGTACTTTCGTAACTAAAACGAAAGTAAAACTTGACTCAGATTTTGTAAGGACATGTTTTGCGTCAGTTTGTTACAAGTTTTAATGATAAATGTCATGTGCACATTCGAAATGTACAGTTGCTAAGGAATAAAATTCTGTTTATTTAGCCCACGAAGACAAAGTAGGTAAAAAAAATATCACAAACATTGAAGTGTTATGGCATTTTTGCTACACCGATAAAATCAAACCACATCATAAAGCGAGTCCTAATAATTAACATTTGAGTTTATCAAAACATTCTAATGGATATTTCGTAACGCGAACTTAACCACAGTATTTAGCTAACAGAATTCGCAATGCAAAACAGTACAGTCGCTCTTAAAGCTATTAACTTAGATTATGCAGTAAGGGGTCAATGAATATGGATGCAGACCTTGGGCTGTGTGACCGGTTTCTCTGCTGGTGCTGCAGGTGTGGAGGAGTCTGCAGCTGGGGCTGAGCTGCTGCCGGCAACAGTAGTCTTGCGTCCTACACCGGGCTTTCCGAAGCGACCTGACGAAAAACACACACATTGAATGCATACCTACGACATCGACATCAAACATTTATATGGACACGGCAATGATGAAGAAAAGCCTTAAGAAACTATATTAGAGGTATATACAATCACCAGCAGTGGTTGTCGGTTGATTCAGATGATTCAAGGTTCATTCCTATATTTGTGTCAGATTTTCGTTTGTTCACACTCATTTATTGCTAAGTGCAACAAGACTGGGTGTAAAACTATGTATAACTTGTACATTTAGAATTGCAATGCAATGTCGGTCATTCTAGTACAACGTTGTCGATATTACCAACGCCTGCCGCGTCATGGCCAACTAGCTGTACTTGTTAGAATTCCTAGCGAAATTACGTCAATGTCTTTTAAATTATGTACTTATGTTCAGATTACGTTTTATACATAACCTGGACTAACACTTGATACCAATAATTATCTATCTGCAGAAGAAATAATTTAAGATGAGCCCTATTAAAAATCTATATTACTTTGCGAAATGTCGTTCTTAGTAGTAACTGTGAAGTAATTACAGGAGTTATGCAATCTAATTTAAAACAATTATTTACCCTACACAATACTACAGAAACCTGCTAATGGACAATCAGATGTTTTTTCTTGTAGGTCATGGAAAAAATACGAACGTATCATTGTATTTTTTAATTGATTGTCTTGATGATAACGTGGTTATTTGCCTCATTTAGTACCTATGTTTATCGTTATACCTAATAGCGATGATACCAAATATTCCCTACCAACACAGATAAGGGCACCTAGTAATTATTCTATTAACTTTAAGCCGTGATTACACTAACTGTTACATTAATTAGCGGAAGAATTATGATAGCTTTCAATTAACATTTATACATAATAATTGAAATTAAGTTTAAAACTTGAATTTGTATTAAATAATTCCTTATAATAGTTGGCCAATTGGAAATTAAATCCTTCAGCCTAAACTTTGCTTGGGTAAATTGTAAAATAACAAGAAAATAACTTTTCAGCTTATTGCTTGCATATTTTCTGTTGTATATATAATAGCAATCATAATATGTGGTTTCGGCCTTACAACAAATATTTAACGACATAGAAACAAGACGCAAAAAACTGTTTTTGATAACACTTAGTTCTTATCAGTATCATATGATATGATAAGAATTATGTTCACGGTGAAGATCAAGGCACCTTTGTGGTTATTTTTGGTATCATAACATGTTTAAAAACAGATGTTGTTTTGTCAAACTTATTTATATTTTAAATAGATTAAATATTTAAAAAAAAGATAAGGTAAAAGAGCGAATCTTTTTCAAACCGTTAACCACGTTACAGAACCAAAACCACAACTAACTATTCGTAAATAATAAAAATAACTACTTAAGACAAATAAACAGTTACGTTATCATTGTCCAAAAACCGTTTATCATAACGTATCGGCCGACAAACAGTGCTGTGTGCTATACAATGACGCAAGAAAAGAAGTGCTGTCTGCATTGAGACGTGCTATTCTTCCCAAATCATTTGTTACTGGAGTAAAAACATGTAAAAATAAACATTAAGAGAAATAATACTTCTAACACATACATATTTTATGTGAGAGAAGTACGTACGCCCACTCATATACCCATTCGCTTAAACCGCATATTCACAACAAAAACATTCGCAAAGCAACAAATGAATAATAAACATAACTTTCGCAGTGGTACGGCTTCAGCATAAATATCTTAAGTAAGCATTCCAAGAGACTCGCGACACGACGGCAATCCTCCACATTTGTTAAAAAACGCTCAGGATCAGAAACGCGCGATTGTTTTCGTTTTGAATAAAGTAGGTCTTGTAATACGTAAGACGCCTGGCATAGTTATGAAATGAGCTAGTGAAACTGAAATATATAAATTTCACTGCTTTCGGTAATAGAATCTTTTTAATCTTAATATTTTTTGGTATCAAAGTTTGTGAAAGTTACGTATATCCTTAGCTCATTTTCTAAAGAAATTACATCAAACTATATGTACATTCAGATTCAAATGAAAAATTATAGTTTGCGCACACACTTGTGTTAGAATCAATTAACTAGTTTCAATTAATACCAAGTAGTGAACTTTCGCCAGTCGCGTCGAGAATCTCGAACTGGATCTGTCTATATAGTTCATGGTGAAGTGGTTAGTCATATTACGCAAGTGGTCGAAAGCAGGATGATTACCTCGTACTCTGGTTGAGGTCTCTAGCGGGGCTTCGGTGGCGGCGCTGGTGGTGGACACGCGGGTACGGGCGCCAGCACGACCCTTGAACCTCGAGGGCCGTGTGGGCACAGCTGACGTGGTGGTGGTAGGTGCCGGCGTTGTAGTGGTCGTGGTTGTGGTCGTGGTAGTAGTTGTTGTCGTTGTAGTTGTAGGGGTAGTGGCTTCCTCTGTGGTGCTCATCTCTTCTGTCGTTGTCCACATGTCATCCTCAACAGTCGTAGAGCCATCGAAACTAATCTCATTTGTGGGGCTGATGTCATTGTTCAAGTTCTCACCAGCCAAGTAGGCGTACAGGTCGAGGGCCACCTTCTCCATTGCTGTCATTGTTGTGTACTCAGTGGTATCCTGCTCGTAGGGAGTAGTCTCTTTGTAGTCGGAGGGGAGCTTGGAATCATCTAAGATTTCCTGGTATCTGATGCCTGACGATAAGCTGTGGCCTTCCCTGGCAGACTCTTTGGCATATGTGGGTTCTTTGGCAATAGGTGTCGTTTCAGGCACTTCCTCTGTGGTGGTTCGGCTCTCTGAGGAATATCTGCTTGGTGGCTCCTTGTATTGGGACGGGGATGGAATATCTCCAGAGTGAGTCTTGAAGCTGTCTAAGTCAACAAGTTCCGAGCTCGGGCGCCTGTAATCGTAATTAGGTATGTTATTGTTGTCTCTGTTATTTGTTTTATAATGAAGTGTTTGAGTGGCATTGTTTGTGAGTGAGTTACCTGATGTGCGCACGAGTTCTGCTTCTGGTCTGACCGATTGATTCATCGGCTACATTGTCGCTTTGTGATCGTCCGCGGTGAATTGTTTCGGATGATACTTCAGGTACGTAAGTTGTGGAAGAAGCTGATGCTAAGTTACGACCGCGAGGCGGGAACCGAGTGCTTGATGGCAGTCTAACGCTTAAAATCATAGTAATTGAAATTTAATGTACATTCAATAACAAAGTATATGTGCATGTGCAGTATTACTGGGTGTACCGTGTCAAAAATAAGTAGTACGTATAAGAAAAATTACCTGATATCCTCTTCCTCTTCTTCGGAAACTGGAGCAGGAGCGACGGTGCGACTACGTCCACGTCCTCGTGTGGTAGCTGGAACTACTTCGTTTTGTATTTCTGGAGTTGCTGCAGTCGTAGTTCCAGTCCTGTCGATAGTACTGTACTTATTCTTAGTTTTGCTTTCGTTGGCGATGTGGTTTTCGCTTTCGATTTTCTCAGGACCGTCGTGAGCGTTGTGTACAGGACTGGCAGTGGTTGAGGAAGCCTTATCTTTTCCTTTTCCTTCCTTTTTACCTTCTTCGTCTTCATCATAGTAATAATAGATGTACTCATATTCGTAATCTTGTCCATTAGGACCTTTCTTAATTTGGATTCTGGATTGGGGCTTTTGTTCTGAACCCGCAGTCTCTAGGTTCACGCTTGATGATAGTAATCCACTGTTGATGTCGTCAATTGTGTCAAAGTTAATTGGAATGTAGTCATACCCTTGGGTAGTGGAAGGTGGAGCAGTAGTAAGAATGGGCTTTTGAGTAGTAGTGCCCGCGGTTTTACTTAGTTTTCCCGATTCAGACATCGCTTCTAAAGCAACCGCCATTTTAGGGTTTGTCTCAACATCTTTTAAGTTCTCCCGTATTTTAATGTCTTCGAGCTTTGATACAGGAACATCAATTTCGATTGATTCAGCTTTGCTCTTCAGCCCCTTTCTGAACAGAGCTTTCTTGTCTTCTTCAATAGCAACAATACCTTCGGTCGCATGTTTGGCTTTGCCGCTGTGTAACTTCTTAACAATCTTCTCACTGTCATCTTGTTTGAAGTTTCTGTGATGCGGGTGTTTTTCAGGAATTTTGTGTGACGTTTCGAAGTTTCTTAATGGAGTCTGTTGGCCTGAACTGACCAGCACGTATTCCTCACCGGGCCGAGGCACCGTGATGATATCTACTTCGGCGAAGGCCGAGTAGAACGTGCATACTAACAAGCATCTGTAACAAAGGAAAGGAACACATAAGATTTTCATCAGCATGGTAAGTTACGAAAGTTCTTTACAGTACAGAATAGGAGTCAGTGGCCCGTGACTCAGCAAGATGACATCTGGCAGCTGCGCCTACGAGGCACGAGCTTGCGACCCTGCACAAGGAACTCTGAGTCACCAAAAATTTCATCACTGAGTTCCCGAAGTGGTTATTGTTTGTCTACCAACACACTTTAGCTGTTACATGAACATTTCTAATGTGTGTTTTTAAATTGACGTATTTAATCACGAGTATGTACGGTTTATATTAGCACACTTTTTATACATGATTCGTTTCATAACCGTTATCAATTTGCATAGCTATCGATATTTCTGGCACAGTTGCACGATGGGGAGCAAAGAAGTTGTGAGAAAATACATCTAGATGACTACAAAACAAGCATTGTCGAACATTGCAATGTTGCAAAAGTGATGTGGTCGTGAGAAATGGCGGCGAAAATCGGAACGTGGGTGTATTACGCATTTCGATTCCGTGCAAGTGCAAGTCGATCGATGAGGCAACTCCGAATGACGTTGACGATCACTTTCGCATCGAGATTGTATCTTACACGACAGTGCTCTCAGATAGCGTGCCTACCACCTTCTAAATCAACAGTCAATAGATTAGTTTCAGTATTCAGTCAATAGATTAGTTTCAGTATTTATTATCTTTACTGGGCAATTTGTCAGTGAAATAACCACTAATAGTAAACTGTCCTATCTTATCTTAAAAAATGCCAATTATCATATGTGACTAGCTATCATCCTATCTTAGTACTGCACTTAACGGTGAACCCATGAGCTTACACATATCCGCTAAGAATGGCAAAGATGTCGAGCATCGTATGTATTAGACTTTTGTCAACATGTCATTGTGAAAAAAGTGCAATGAATCATATCCCGGCTACTTAATCGAATTGCAAATCCAATTATCGGTGTCGGAAGTGTTTGAGCTTCCGCAAAATTTCTTGTGAGCCTCGACGGCACACGGAAACCGTTTGAGGGATAACTAGCGAATGGCACTATATTAGTATTAAGTCCATCGGATCGCATTAGGCCACCTTCATTTCACTGCGTGCGAGGAAGTGTGTGACAACGCATGCTAGTGAATGCGGTACACCGACCGTGACTGGTTACGATGCAGCAGTCACTTTACTTGAAGGTTAGTGTGAATACTGAGTGGACAATAACACCTATACTGTGCATAAGTACAATGCTTCAAACAATCGAAGTTTTGCAATCTCTTGCTATTTATATATAGGTATTCGATGCAGAACAGACAACAATTACTTAAAATTATATCCACCACAAATCACTTAATATGACATTTTATTGTTGCTTTCATGCGAACAGGATGTAGTTTACAATATCCATATTTAAGAATCGTACTTAAGCTGGGTGATAAAATGGTAAAAGAGGTGTAGCCGCTTCCAGCAAAACTTGTACTTGAATATCCGCTTTCCATAATAACAATACGTAATTTCCTGCATGTCCATTTGACGTCACACAACATCGTTGAGCTAAATTAATCTTACATAAATATTATGGAAAATGATTGAGATAATGAATGCAGCCTCAATTCCGCAGTGGAGTGTAACCAGATCGGTGCCTGCGTTTGTACCGGTTCAATTTCACTAGATGTAAGGTCGCGAGCGCAAGGCTAGGTGAGCGTAACACAGGAACGATACACAAAGACATGATACTGCGACACTAGTCTCCGCTGTAGCCAATAACTACATTAGTTTTATTCACACCATGCGAATGAATTTTGAGTCTCTTATTATCACGGATATTCCACTTATTCTGGTTCCACAAGTGTTCTACGTTGTGGCTTATGATCCCCCACATACAACACAAATACTCTCATGATCTTTAAACTTTGCAGAGTATCGCAACGTGCTCCGAAGAGTTCAGAGAGTTCAAGGCATATCTATCTATTTGCACTATTTGGGTCCTAGACGTGTGAACCTGCATCAGTATTTACAGCCAGATGTAAATGTAGGTGTGTGTACTCCCATATATGAACGTAAAGAATATTTACTGGTATAAAAATGGTTTTATTATTTTTATAAATTTTTCCATAATTTATAAGATCCCATGGACCTGACATGTAAATTAATGTTGTCTTATTTTTATTGGAATGTTCTGATCAATTTAAGGTATTAGGTATTCTTAAAATATATCACAAAAATAGTTTAAAATAGATTGGCCTTTGTCTAAGTGCTGTGACAAATTGTGCTCCACCTGAAACTTTGCACAATGTTTCTTTTTATAGCGTGCGCCTGAGCAGACTCGTTGTTTACGCGATAGAAAACATCGTTTCATAACGCCAACTAATTACATGTCAAACTGGTTCACTCTTGTTAAGTTTCTAAATATTTTAATTGTTAATGATAAGGTGGAAAGGTATGCTGGAATTCTGCAGAAAGTAAAGCATTATGAGTACCTTCTGTGCAATAAAAAAGCAACATGTCGAGTTTTAACGTGAGCACATTAATCATTTGTGCTAAGTCAACGCTCGTGACTTGATTGCATCTGGGTTCGGCAACCCCTCGCTTCCTCCGATGGCGGTCGCGCAGGCGCGTGGTGCACCGGAGGAAGCCACAGCATGACGGTGCAATCTCCCGGGAAATTGTGAGATCTGTGCGTGACAAGAAAGTATTGCTCGCCAACTCTTTCACTGCTCATCGCATGCAACATTACCATCTTTTGATTAAATACCACCGCAGAGGTAAAGGTTAAACTCTCTCCGGGCAAAAACAAGTTTTGCATATCTATATGTTACTAATACTTGTCTGCCACTTGTTCGTCTACATTGTTTCACTTTCCACACATAAGTTTAGACAATATCACAATAAAGGATGTTCTCATGCTATATGATGGAATTCTTGTCTCGAATGCTTAAAACTCCGCTCTAAATATTTCTTAATGCCTCGAAAATCTCAAGATCTGTGGAACAAAGTGACTCTTAATAGGATTCTCGGTCGCAATTACTCAAGACATCTAACAAATCGTAATGCAATGACACTTTATAATTACAAACATACATTCTAGGATTATAATGATCGTGTGAACATTTAACATTAATATAATGAATATCTGACATGGCTTCAAGTTATTGTATACAAACTTACACCACATAAACATTGGGCAACTGCGACGGATGGTGGATGCAAGGTTAAGCTCATATATTTTAATTATCTTACTCGTTATACGTATAGTTAAGTTTACTGAATGGTACCTCTAAATGGCAACTTGGTCCATTGTTGAATTGGCCATGGAGCCGACGAAAATCGTTTATACCAACAAAATTGAATATATTTTATTTCGTATTGTTATTTCGATCATAATAGTATGCATAAAATACACCATACCTCAATTGTTTTCATCTAACAATAAAAAATTGCTTGTACATTCGTACAACCTACCTACGACAACCTACAGACTATGTGACTGAATATCAGGATTAGCAGTAAGATATGCAGTCTGTAAATTCTATAATCCATGTGTGCTTACCACAACTTTGTAGACTTTATGCTTACGAGCAATCATAAGAAGATGCTATAAACGACCGATCGTTTCACTTTCCTTAAATAAAACTGGTCACATTAAATATGAAGTAGCAGTGGTTATTCTGTGCTAGTAGGCTGTTTATTTGTATTATTAACAGATGTCCGGTGGAAAACGAGTTTTAAGGAAATCTTGAATCAGACGCAGTCATCGTCTTTATGTACTTATGTAGGTACATAGTATTTGGACAAAAGTGGTGATTGTTAGTCGTGGGAGCTCGGAACCCAAACGGGAGGGGGTCAAGGACGGTCCATAATTCCCACACATTCATACTACTACTACTACTACCAAGTTGGTCACCATCCAAACAAAAAACGAGCAACTGTGTTTCAAATATCCGTACATAATGTAAACACCGGAAAGAAACCAATTTTCGAAAATATTAAACGCAGTCTGCTCAGTACAAAATACAAAAAAGATAGAAAATCGTAAAACAAATTGTCATTTAAGAGTGGAATACTAAAAAGTAAGCTGTAGGACACTCGGTTTCGAAAATCTCCTGCGCAACATTTGATTTGCATAAACAATTTCTAAAGAGGACATTTCTGCATGTATCACTGCGTTAATAGAGGGTATTATAATTACCGAGATGTCACTAAAGAGCAAGACCTATAATTATGACTTTATAGTGACTAAATGGTGGCGCTGATGTCTTAAAATGACATTCATCCTCACGGATGTGAATTTTGCAATTAAGTTTAGATGTCCAGCTAAAATAATTATAGAGGTATAATTAGGGATTATTACAGTGTCATATTAACTTAATATAATTATATCCTATATTATCCTAATCATGGTAATTAAAAATCTCTTATGGTTAGAACATTAATTTTAACAGTCAAACAAAGTAATATTGCTGACAATAAAATTTATTTTTCAGCAATACACAGTTATAGATTCGTACAATTACGTTTGCATAAGAAATAACAGCATGTATAACATTATAAAATCCGTCACTTTGACATTAGCGTGTGCAGTTAGCTCACAAGTCACAGATTACGAGATGTTTGCATAGGTGTGCAAGCGCATGGAACATCTCCTAACTGCAATTTCGATTGCAAGCAGTTAGGTAAGAGCCGCCGTAACGTTAGGTCGTGCCAAATTGTATTATAATCGCTCTCCACTTGAATCATTCTTTCCTGCGTCCACACAACTTTTGAGTCGGTCAGCTTCAAGAGACTCACCTTGAGTTTACAAAAGTTGTTCTGCACATTTTTTGCAAAACTATTATTGGGAACCTATAACATCTTCATAAAAGTATATGTGCTTTGAAAACATTTCCACATTCTTATCTTTTTAGCTTCAAACGTATGTAGCAAAAATATTAGCTAAAAGAATAGTTGGCGTTAGAAGTGGAACGAATCTGTGCTAAATAGTTTGAATTCTTCGATAGTCACGGAT